AAAGAAAGAAAAATAAATTTGAATTTCATTCTTTTTTAAAAATTTAAAATTAATTAATCTTCGATTTCTTTATTTGTCAATCAATCAATTATACAATTAATTATAAAATACGATAATAATTGTAACAATTACAATAATTATAATTACAAACAAGGATACTTTGATGGCAAGCGAAAAGTTCTTTAGCTCAGCATCACATGATTTAATTGTTCCAAAACAACAATGACAATTAAAGAAGTTGAAAATGATTTTAAACCTAAACAATTAAATTTAGTAATTGAAAAAATAAGTAATAACTGTTCTAAATTTTCACTCATTGCTATAATTATTATTTAGTTCAAAATGATATTTTAATAATAATCTTATACATGCAATTGCCATTTCTAAACGTTTAATTTTGCTGCTGGTATCATCAAGTAATGATAAACTAACGCTTTAAGAAATACAGGTTTCAAACAAATTTCTAGCTTTACCAAACAATGTTAAAACTCTTGGAATAGAAAAATAGCAGATATTTAACCATAAAAACAAAACATAATGTACTGGACATAGAGAGCAAGCAACAGAATATGAGCGGCAAGAAATTTCTATTTTTACAGAAGAAAAATTCCCATTTATTAGTTATAAGAGATTTTTTAAAAATCCATATAATGAAATGATGTAAACTATGAATTAACCAACTAATCCAGATCACTAGAATCAATCAAGGTGTAGGGATAATATCGCCAGATCCATCACAATATGAAATGGCACTTTGAAATAATAAAAAGCCATGCCCAGTGTTGCCACTTCATTTTGTGCCCAATTCCTAGCATTAATAACTACATCGTTTTTATGCCCATGCATAGAGATTGGAATTATGAACATTAATTTGCATAATGCACATGATGATCTTTTATATAACCGATTTATTTAAAAGTATAAAATTTAACCTAAATAAAATAATTATTTCTTAATCATTTTCATATCCATCTAACTCATATAATTCAATTATGGTATCTGACTCATTTGATCCATTATCACTTTCTTCATCACCTTCCCTAATCTCATTATTTAAATTCCCTTCCACTTCTGATAATTCATTATCTTCATTTTCATCCTCACCTATATCAATACTACATCATTTTAAGTACATGATGTGAAACTTTGGTACGGTTTGCAGCAGCAAGCAATTTATGTGAACAATAATTACATTGAGCTCTTTCTTGTTTATAAGTGGTCTCATGGCCAAGCTTTGTAAAATAAGACCAAATTTTACTAATTCATTATTCATTGTGACATTATGCGCATTTTAAAAAATTCAGTGCGCATTATGCAATTTTGCCCATCTCTACCCATCAATGCATCTTTGAACATCTTCATAACGAAGCTTATTAAGCATCCCTTCATATTTATGAAGGATTTTATATAACATACATGCAACTCCTGTCTAAAAATCAAAATAATAATTATTTTTTACTCTTGAAATTCTATAACAAAAAGAAAAAAAAACTAACCCTTAAGGTTAGCAATGTATGAATAATATTATGGACATCATTAGGAATTGCTATATGTAAAAGAATTGAAACCTGTTCTAATAAACAATATTTGAGGATGCCTGTTTCCCTATGCATAGCATAAATTTCCAACATATCTCCTACAAAATTTAGTTGTTAACCTATGAATCTTATGTAATTAGCATAATTATTACTTACCAGCAACATTAACTGTAAAAATTGCCAGTTGCTGTCTTGTAATTGATTGGCTAAATCTTTTTCAAAGATTAGAAACATTCCTTGTGGTGTCAATAGAATCTATAGAAAATCCAGCCAACTTTTTATGATCCCATATTTGCTTAATTAAAGTTGAATTCAGCTGTCCAGTTTCTAAAAAAGAAATTTCAAGTTCCGCATTTTTTCCTAAATGAGCTAGCAAAGTATAATCTGCTCTTTGTGCAATTTTTCATAAACCTTTCCTCATAGCACTAGCTAAACTTCCTTCTTTGCCTCTTAATTTAGAATTTTCATATTATTCATGCAACAAGTCAGATGAAATAAAGTGCTTATCTAATATATATAATAAACATACCATATACCCTATGCTGATGGATACCCTGGCAAATCATCCATCACTATATTTATCAGTGGAGAAATTACTTCACATACATTAAGAGCCCTCATTAACCCATGGTTTTCCATTTTTTGCGAAAGATTTGTATTTCAGTGATCCCTAAATTTTGCCCCTAAAAAAGAAAAAAAATATAAATATTGCTTCCAATAACCCTCCATTATTTGCTCAAGTTTTTGGATTGATCTACTCACTTTCCAAATTCGATGTTCCCCTAGGAGCATAAAGGCTAACTTCACCCTTGTCATTAAGAGACTGACCAGTGACATTTCAGTTTTTTAATTTGAGTTCTTCTATTTCTTCTTCTCTTTTTTTATCAATATTATTGATTTCTTATATTAGTTTTTTATTACTTTCTTGGAGTTCATTTATTGTGTTTACCATGATTTTCTTTTTTATTTATTTTGCTCTTTTAATATACTTCTATCCTTTTTATGAGGGCATATTAAGTATATAGATTATTTTAGTACTTTTTTACTTTAAAGGTGGAAAAGCTAACAATATTTGTCAAAAGATAACAAACAAATGGGAGACTTTAACAATCACATTACAAATTTTGATCCCTGAAATTCTTGGTAATACCAATGTTCACTTTGTCTGGTTTTGTTGCAGTATGCCCCATGTGTGAGAGAGAGGTCTTCAATAGTGCACCATTGACACTCCTTATAACAAATATACCAATCATTTTTTATTATTATGATACAATTAATCATTCATTACTAATGTAAAGACATGATAGATTTTACTCCATGATTTGATTTCAGTAAGATAATTAGCTATTTTATATAAAAAAAAATCTCTGGCTGATAACAAATAGCATATCTTCTTGATATTAATGAATGCCATTCAAAAAATAACTAACTATTTAATCTTGTACACGAAGATCATTATGTGAACTGATGAACTTAAGATGCCGATCTTCTATTTCAGGACAAAAATTTTTTATTAAAATGTCAAAATTAGCAATAAAAAGACTTCCTTCACTGTCCAAAATAGCAGAAACAATATTGGATTTAAGAACAGGATTAGGAGCAGCAAAACTATCATCAGAAATTCAAAAGATAACACTTGTATATTCTATTAATGATAAGGAGACAAGGTAATGTTGAGTGAGTGAGCAAATGTGAATGAATATATATGTATGCATATTTTATATAAATATTTAATTTGATTTTTTCTTTCAAAAACTATAAAATGAAAGAACTTTTTGGAGAGAAAATTTACCTAGAATAGCTTATAATAATCCAAAAGTAAAAATCAATGTAGAATCATCATTGGTATCAGCACTATCACCTGATAAATCCTTAATAAAAATGGAATATATTTGTAAGTAATTGTTAGGTGAAATAAAAAGAATTTTAAAAGTAGTTAAATGATTTTTGTACTTACTTATATATATATGAATGATATGAAGATGAAGAAAAAGAAGAGACCAGAGAAAAGATTGTTGAATTGGACATTACAGGGAAAGATTCAGAGGAGATTTGTCGAGAATTCTTAAATGTTACAAAAGCAATTCCAGCAGTGATGACAGAATCATCATCTAGACAAAAAAGAGCACCACTAGGTGATAAAAAGTATAATGATGAGGATATTCAATACCTGAT